TGCTTGATCCCCACATCTTGTTTCTGACAAAAAGTGGTATGATCCAACCTGATCACCTAGTTTATTCACCCAACAAGTAGAAAGCTTCAAATTCTTTATAGCTACTTACAGTCTCTCTACCCTATACCTACACTTTATTTAAAATGCCAGTTTGCCTTTATTCTATTACTAGTTTTATAATGAACTGGTCAATGTTTTTGAAACCCCATCTTTGTTATAAAAACTTAGAAAATTAATAAGAATGCTATAAAACTACATGCAGTTGGTATAAAAATTATTAATCATTATTTGATGGCATTCTTATCTTATTAGCAGTAATTTCACTTTCTACCTTTCTATCTACTTCTCAGACTTCATCTACTTTTTGGCTGTGAGCTCTTTGTTGGTTTTTCTCATTCTGTCTTGCTCTCTACTGTTTCTTGTTGTTTTATCTTGCTTTGTTGATGTGTATTATAAAACAACTACTCTACATGCTTCACACCCTAGAGTTTTTCATATGGTAGTAACTAAGAAGATCAAGTTAAATCCTTTAACTGGAAGGAAAAGTGTCAAAATAGTATCTAGAGGGTGAATAAGTGGCTATGTTTGTAATGCTTTAATAGACTATCTTTATAGTCTACCTTTTTAGTGGACTAAAAAAAAAAAAAAAACCAAAGAATGTAAAGAAGACTAAATTGGTTCCTCTAGGCTTGCTACATGTCTTTGGTTGACAAGCAACCAGAGGTGGTGGCAAAAGAACAGAATGGTAACTGGAAAGCTGATCTGACTCAAAGCAGAGAGAAGTATATTCCCCCACCATACAAAATTAGGCAGAAAAATAAGTATCTGCCTATATCCACATGTCCAATTTTAGTCTGAGGTCTACCACTAAACATATTTACTGATTTCCAGAAGTTATTAACAATAATAATAAGTAATGTTCATTACATAGTAATCATGTGCTAGCACTCTGCTGAGACCTTCTGCTATAATTTGGATGCTGTCCATTTAAATCTTATGCTAAATTGAAATCCCCAGTGTTGGAGGTGAGGCGTGGTAGGAGGTGAATAGATCATGGGGGCAGATCCCTAACGGCTTGGCGCTGTCCTCATAACAGTGAGTGAGTTCTTGTGACATCCAGTTGCTTAAAAGTGTATGGCACCCCCCGACACCTGCTCCTGCTCTCACCATGTGAAACACCAACTCAACCTTTGCCTTCTGCCATAACTGTAAGCAGCCCAAGGCCTAGCCAGAAGCCAAGCAGATGCTGGTGCCATGTTTCCTGTACAGCCTGCAAAACTGTGAGCCAATTAAACCTCTCTTCTTTATAAATTACCCAGTCTTAGAAATTTCTTTATATCAATGCAAGAATGACCTACCACACCTGCTAAGACTGAGTGGTAAGCAGGATGAACATGAGTCCCCCTTTCCTGAAGAAGTTGATAATCTAATGAATGGAAAAGATATTAAAATAACTATTAAACAAAAGTATATTATAATTACAGTGAGTACTATGAAATAAAGTACAGGTTGCTTATAAAAGTAAATATAGGGAAACTGATGACTATGGAAAACTGATATTAAAGTTTAGACATGAAGGATAAATAGGAGTTAGGTAAAAACCATTCCAGTAAAAGAAAGCATAATGCAAGATGATGCTGTACAGAGTAACAGTTTGGTGTATTCACAGAACACAGAGGTCAATACAGCTTGATCATGGTGAGTAAAGGGGAAGAATGGTCATGATAAGTCTGGAGAATTGGCTAGGCATCACATTATATGGGCTATTGCAGGCTACACTAAGGATTTAGCATTTAATCCCCAGGACAAGAAGAAGCTATTAAAGGGTTTTAGGCAGGAAACTGACATTTAGATTTGCAATCTCACAAAATCTATGCTATGCAGAGAACAAAGTGGGATAAGAGTGTGTGTGCGTGCAGTGATTAAAGAAAAGGATACAGCCTAGGCAAGAGATTAATAGTGACTTGAATTAGGGAAGTGGCAGTGTTGATGGAGACAAAATGACATATTTGAGATATATTTAGAAGTAAGAATAAACAGGACTTTTGATTGATTGTCTATGAGATATAAGGTGAAGAAGATATTAGTGATAGTTTTCTGCTATGAGTAACTAGGGAGATAATGTATAATTAAGATGGGGAACACTGGAGAAGGAACTGGTCTGACAGCAAGAACCAAGGTTCTATTTCATACATACTGAGTTTGAGATAACTGTCGGTAGACATACAATTGGATTCAGTTACACAGATGGGCTACAGCCCTGGAGCTCAGTAGGGAAGTCTGGGCTGAAGGCATAAATGTGGGAATGCATAGACACGCATAAATATTATTTGAAGTTCATGTGAGTAGTTACAAACAACTAAGGAGTGTGGAATTAGAAAGAATGAACCTCAGATATACTCACTCGAATGACAACATTTAAGAGTTGGGTAGAAGAGGTGAAAAGGGGACTGAGAACGAGCAGCCTGCAAAGTAGGAAGAAAATCAGTAGAAATGGTCATGGAAGCACAGAGCCCAGAGTGTTTAAGTAAGGTGGAAGTGGCCAAATATGATAGAAAGTCCTTAGAGATTAATTCGCAAGATCAGCTTTAGTGAAAGACTATAAAAGATGTTGGATTGAAATTAGGTTAAAAAAAATGACAGTAGTATGGATAATCTTTACCATTCAAGAAATCTGACCATCAGATTATCAGTATGGATAATCTTTATCATTCAAGAAACCAGGATCACCCCTGCACTAAGACTCATTATCTCACTTAATCCTCAAAATTACCATTATCCTTATTTTATAGATGAGGACACTGACGTTTACCCCAAGGTTATGGGACAAGCCTAATTTTCTCATCTCATCTAGATGAGCCCTAAAAGTCCTTCTACTTCCATGAAAAAATGAAAAACTATACCTCTGTTTCTGTTCCACAGTCATAATAAATTTAGCATCTTTCACAAGAACAGAAGCAGCCTGTTGCACACCCTTCCTTGTCGCACAAAACTGAAAATAAATTCATAACTTTTGTATTAATCATGTTAAAAACTGAATATACTAAAAAATAAGCTATCAACAATCCATACCACAAGTGTGGGTTTCTGATCAGAATACATTTGTATAACACTGGCAATTTTGTAGTTGAGGGTTAAATCAAACTTAAATTCAGTTTGGTTACTGCTGCAGGGAAATCCAAGGACCACTTTCTGAAGTTTCACTGGTCTGTGGCTCTCATCCATTTTCAGACATACAGCTGGTCTTTCACCATCTGAAAGCCATTCTGCAATCTTTAAAACACAAAAACATGTGCATTAAAACTTTCTTCTAGTAAAGTTTTATTGCTAAAAACAACCCAATTACAGATCACTTTAAGGTCAAGCTGTAAAAGTATTTAATCAAGTATACTGTCTTTTTCAATATTACATATTCCATTAATATTATTCTGTTGATATAGTAGTCAACACTACCAACAGTAGTATTTCAAGATTATACCACTTTTCATCATGGTAAACTTCCAATTCGTTATTATTAGTTTTATTTTCCTTCATAAGAATCCCAAAGAAAAATTAAAATCAGTTTTGTCACAGAGACCAAATTTCTCACTATCATTTTACCTTCTTTGCTATTTTTGAAAACTATGCCTCAAAATAGCTGACATCTCTTTTGTGTTGTCCTAAATATTAGATAAATAGTAGCAAAGTAATAGTTGGTTTAGGTATGCAAGGGTTGACAAGTTTTTAAGCAGACAACAAACACTTGAGAGATGCCAGTGCCAAAAGCAAACTTCAGACTCAACCTAGAGTCACTAGTTAGTTTCTGGAACTGTGGTAAGCAATCTTTATCTTTACATAGCCCAGTTAATAATCAGGCTCCATGCCCAGCTATGAAACTGACTTGTTTTGACAGGAAGAAAACATTAAAATAGTTTCAAGGTTATCATGAGTAGGGATAAGATCACACAAGAATTTACAGTTTGAGGGGAGCAGAAGGCCAAGAATAAAGACCTTAATTTAGGGGAAAACGGAGGAAGATCTGACAAAGAGACAGAGAAACAGCATTCACAGAAGTAGTGTTTATCGCAAAGGGGAAAAGTTTGATGAATTAGAGAGTACTAGTACATAATAATGGCTTACAAGTAAGTAAGAAAAATTTAGTATCCCAAAGTGAAAAAAAGGCAAATGACATAATCTGGCAAGTTTTTAAAAAAGAACTTAAAGTAGTTGATAAATACATTAAAAATATTTGCTTTAGTAGAAATCAAAGAAGCAAAAAATTTTTAAATGAGATACCACACTAAACAATAAATCCTGTAAATATTTAAAAATAATAACAGCAATAATAATTCCGCTATTAAACGATCCAGTGTTAGGATATAGGAAAATAGCTTCTGGTAGAAGTGTAAATGAATATAACATTTATTGAAAGAAGTGCTTCTTTAGAGTTTTATATATCCTTTGATTCAGTTATTTCATTCTAAAAGTTCACCCTAAGGAGATAATCATGGATGTTTCAGATATATTAATTTCACTCTGTTTACAATAGCAAAAATTGGAAATGATCTTCCATTATTACATTGTTTGATAAATAAATTACAATAAAACCACAAAAATAGTACTAAAGAATATTTAATGATATAAAAATGTTAATAGATGAAATGCAGGTCAAAAAAAAGAGTATATACATTATGATTCCTACATGCTTACAAAAAAAAGTATATACATTATGCTTCCTACATGTGGAAAGACAAACACTAGGATTTAGTTTTGTCGTTTTAATAAACTTTAAATTTTTCTATATTATTCTTGACAAATACAAACAAAATAAGCTGTCATTTTAAGAACAAGAAAATGATTAATTGTGCCAAATTAACGATAAAGACAAAATATTCCATTGGAATAAACAATATAGTGGCTATTTGTGAAAACAATTTCTAAGAAGTAGTAGGGGAAAACCAGTATTATAGTAGGCTGAGAAGTAAGTAGGAGTGAGAAAGTAGAGTGAGACTATTATTTTTCAAGACGTTTACTTAAAAATTGAAGAAAAAATTAAGTCATATATTCATTATGGAAAGGACAATATGGCATATTATTATTTCTTTACATGTCCATGTACCTCATTAACCATGAGATCCTCCTCAAGGATGGAGTCCACGTATTTTCACTTTTGCATCTATTGTTAGTGCTTACCACAATGCCAAGCATACAGAATTGAGGAGCAAGTGGTAATCATCTAAGCAATTATTTTTATTCTCCACCATACTTCGCTATACAATTAGAGTCAGCTAGTTACAACAACCATCACATATTATTAGTGAAGTTATTATGAGGCACCTGAGACCCATGAAACTAAGACTTTTAGATACTAGCAAACAAGAGATGTCCACATGTCCACAAAAAATATTTTATTAAACTTGATTAACCAAATTTTATGGCCTTAATACTGTCATATTTATGAGATCTAGCCACAACTTTCTACAACATACTTTCCTATTAAAGCAAAGTACAAAAAAATTCACTTTTCTCTAAGATCAAAATAACTAAATATGTCATAAGTCATAAAAAACCTAAGAGCTCAGCTAAAATTGTAACTCACATCCTCAGCATTTGGAATTGTTGCAGATACAGCTACAAATCGCATTGGAATAACAGTGCTGGTATTTTTTAAAGTCTGAGACACAGACTGTACAGTTTTCATTCTGCTGACTACAACTTCAAGAGTTGGACCACGATTTTCATCTTTTACAATATGTACCTAAGCAGGAAATCAAGAAAAAATCATTAGCTATAGAATTATAAATATATGTAATCAATTAAAATATTCAATACTACTAACATTCTTGCTTGAGAAAATGAGCATTTTCCATTTGAAGGGATAAAACAAACACATAGTTTGGTTGAAATGTCTTTTTTCTTTCTGTCTTATTCTAATTATCCTTTTATGTTTATCTGTGAAAGTGAATGCATTCATTACCTCATCAATGAGAAACAGTCGAACCAGTTGAACCAAAGAGTTGTCTCTCCATTTCCTAGTCATGCTATCCCATTTTTCCTAGACAGAAAAAAAAAAAAGCATACAAGTAATTTAATGTGATAAGGAATTATAATAAATATTCAGATATCAATATTTTTAACATGACATATTACAAATAATGGGCAATTGTGGTTGATCCCTTAAGAGTATCCTGAAAAATATTTTAAAATTAAAAAATACTTAAAGAATTTTTACAGTCTTAAAGGTATTTTTAAAACTGGGCCCTCAATTATTTTTACACTGAACCACAAAATATTCTAAGTCCAAGTTTTATTACCTGTTTTTAAATTCTACCAAGGACCTCCCTCTATAATATACACTACTTAGGTAAAAGAATAAAGCAATAAATATGATTGCAAAGTATCCACAATAACAAACTGCCTATTCTTTGTCGATTTTTCCAATTTGGTCATTTGTCTTTTACTTACTGATTTGTAGGTATTCTTTCTGGGTCTTGAATTGTAGTATTTTTTTAATGTTCATTTGTTTACATTGTAAATATATGCTTCTAGTTTGTATTTTTTAAACTTTTTGTCTCGGTAAAGAAAAATAGGTATTTTCTAACGAACTAAGGAAATCATAAAGTATAAATAATACCTACAGGAGTTGTCATAATAATATGGGCATGCTGAATCTCAAATAGGTCATCCATTACTGTATCTCCGGTAAGTTCTTTACAATTCAATCCTATTGGTCCAAATTTTTCTTTCCAGTCACCAAAACGCTGACTACACAAGGCTTTTATTGGTGCCACTGTAACAGTATAAAATATTTACTTTGAACATCAGTTCAATTTTAAAATTATTTTCACAAACTTTGGTTAATAAAGTTAGCATAAAAATACACATCTACATACTCCTAAGATTGATAAATTAAAAATGAACAATATAGGCATATTATTTAGAGCAGGGGGGTCCAGTCTTTTGGCTTCCCTGGGTCACACTGGAAGAAGAACTGTATTGAGCCACACATAAAATATGCTAACACTAACGATGACTGATAAGCTAAAGAAAAAAAATTCTCATAATGTTTTACAAACATTACAAATTGTCATAAGTTTACAAATTTGTGTTGGGCTGCATTCAAAGCCATCCTGGGCCACATGCAGCCTGCAGGCCACAAGTTAGACAAGTTTGATTTAGAGGTATCAAGGCAATAACCAAAAAGAACTAAAAATAGAAATGATTTCTCAGGCAAGTGTAACTAAAAGTGGAGAAAGGTAGGGCAGAAGATGATTACTTTTCATCATAAGGCCTTTAGTGATACTTGATTTTTAATCCATATGCATATATTACTTTGATTTAAAAAAACATTTTAAAAATACACACCTAAGAAAGGAGAGTAAAAGTGCCTATGCAAATTTCTAGAATGACAAAATGTTTGATTTTATGTGTTCATTTTGCCTGTCCTTTAAAAAATAAGCATATCAAAGTCAAATTCTCAATTCAAATATTACTTTTTATTTATAATTCTGGAAAATGTGTTTTAAATTTAATGACAAATAAGACCAGACTTTACTAGAAATATATAGAAAACCAAGTAATTCCTAAGGCCAGAAACTAAATTCATTTCTTCATTTTGCTTCAATGGTTTTTCGTTATTATAATTAATCATCACTCTTATAATAAATACTTACTGTAAACAATTTTAATATTCAACCATGGCAATGGTACTTCCATTAACAATCTTGTTATAGCTAGTTCAAACACTACAGTTTTTCCAGAACCAGTTGGAGCACAAATCACAAAATTCCTATCTGTGTAAAGAAGCTAAAAAATAAAAAGTTATCAATCATGTAACATATAGAATTTTTCATACACATTCTCAATTTGTTAAAAAAACGTCTTAATAAGAATCTAAGGAATAATAATTCAAACATTTCTCCTCTAAAGTTATAGAAATTGTAACTTTGCTCTAGAGCCTCTACTCTCGAAAAATAACATTATTAGTATTTTATCACGCTGTTTTATTTGTCAATGTAGACCTAGAAGAAAATCATTCCTGGCTGAGCACGATGGCTTACACTTGTAATCCCAGCACTTTGGGAAGCCAAGGAAGGCAGATCACTTGAGGTCAGGAGTTCAAGACGACCCTGGCCAACAAAGCAAAACCCTGTCTCCACTACAAATACAGAACTTAGCCAGGAGTGGTGTCTCATGCCTGTAATCCCAGTTACTTGGGTGGCTGAGGCAGGAGAATCGCTTGAACCTGGAAAGTAGAAGTTGCAGTGAGCTGAGATTTCACCACTGCACTCAAATACAAACAAATCCACCTATGAAAATCACACGTATTCATTTACCAAATATTTTCTGAGCTCCTATAATGTGCTAGACACTGAGTGTGGCAGTGCAAACATAAAGATCTAGTAAATCCCAGCTGTCCCAATCTAGTGATTACAACCTAGTGAAAGGTAGAAAAATAAATAAGTTAAATAAAATACTTACATCATCAAAGGCTTTGGACTGTATATAGTTGAAATATGGAAATTCTTTGAAAATACTTCTAAATTTTGCCGCTTACAATAACATTAAGGAGTCAAATATTTCAGAATTTAAAAAATTGGTTACTTTTAATTTTAAAATTAAGTTATATTAATATTCATTCTGACAACGTTTAATGATGAGGTTTTAACATTTGCTATTTGGCATCTTAAGAAAAGAATTATCATAAATTATTCTAGTCTCCAGTCACATTCCATATTCTGAAAAGAACTTGCAAAGTTCCTATAGGGAAATAAGAGATTATATAAGGGTTATACTTGAGTGCTAAATATGATGGAAGAGATGCAAGTACATAATGGCAAGTAAATCAGAACTATACTTCTAGTTTATCTTTTCCAGAGTCGTGCTTTTTCTTATTTACCTTGACAAGGCCAGTTGATTTTTATCTCTTCTTTAATGTACAGAATTTCACTCAACTATTTCATTGAGCATTGATTGTACTTCATTAGCTGATGTGTTTCTGGTTACTTAATACTAAATCTCTTTGTTTTTGATAATTTAGTTGTGTTAAGTGGTGGGTTTAATTGTAATTATCAACATACTGGCTTGGCAGGAAGAACTTAAATCATCCTTCCCCTATAAGAAAGTTCAAAAATATAAATAGATATGAAGAATAAACTGTGCCCTCTCCAAGGTGAGGGTCTATTGACAGATTGGGAGATATCTATATTTACATGGTATTCTTCTTACAATATATCAACTACAGTCATTGAACACTATATACAGAATACATTATAGATTTAGAAAGCTGTGGGAAGTTGTAAATAAAGAAGAAAATGAGTTCCTACAATTGAGACTGTTATAATCTATCAGAAGATATAAGATGGTTAAGAACATTATCTGAGAACACAAGTACACAGTTATTTAAACAACTAGATTTTTATAAAGATATATAAGAACTGATGGATTGCTGTAGTGATCCTGTTTAAACTTAGATCATATTACTTCTCTGATCAAATTCCTCCTTTCTCTCAAAGTATATGGCTATAAGGCTCTACATGATCTTGTCTTCCCACTGCCACTCCCTCCCCGCATCAGCCCCTGCCTTTCTCTCTCTGACTTCATGTCCTACTACTCTTTCCCCCTGACTCATCTCCTCTAGCTATACTGAACTCTGCTGTTCTTCAAAAACATCAGCCATGTTCCTGCCATGAGGCCTTCCCCTGCCTAGACTGTTCCTCCCTCCATATTTTGGCTCCTTTCCCTCCATTAAGTGCTTACATCTGACCTTCTCAAGGTCTACCCTAAGTACTGTTTAATTCTACACCCTGAGCCACAAATCCCAGCAGTCCCAATTTAACCCCCTTACCCTGCTCTATTTTTTTCTTTTTCCATAATAGTCACCACTTTCTAAAAAAACTCTATGACTTATTTATATGTTGTTACAGCTGTTGAGATATAGCTTCTTCACTACCCTCATGCCAAGAATGGTATCTCCTCAAAAGCAAGGATTCATTCTCTGTTTTCTTCAGTGACATATCCCAAATACCAAGAACAGTGCCTGACACACAGTAAGTACTCAGTTAATATAGGTTTGCAATTATTACATCAAGCAGTTAATTTATAAATCCTCATTTTACTTTCTGGTGTGCAAAGTGTCATATCTGTGCCAAACAAAAACGTAATTTTGAATTTGAAAATCCATAAGCTTTAGAAGGAATCTCATTTTTCCTTCAAAACATGTCTCTTACTATCAAATATTTATTTGCAACAAGCCTATGAGTGGGCCATCATGTTGGTTTTTCTCTCATTAGATAGCTCCATATCAATTTATATTCACAAAAATGAATCTTTGATTCAGAGTAGATACAGAATCAGTGTTTCAGCTCATAAGAAAACTCAACTGCTAACATCATTTATCATCACTATCAACAACTGAAATCAATTTTTGGCCTTACATTCAATAAAGTCTCAGCAGTGTCACTGAAATTATGGGGAAAATGTCTGCAGAACTGAAAATGACAAGACTACTGTGGTAGGATCAATCTGAGAAAACTTCTATTGCCCTGAGGATTCAAATGTAGTAAAATATTTAAAGAGAATAAGAAAATAAGGTGTGTCCAAGTAATCTACAAACTCTCAAATTATCACAAACAGCATTCAGTCTTCCACTTTAAATACATACTTGGAAACAAGGTATAGGACAATGAGTTTTATACAAAATGAACTTTTTGGACAATAAATCAGTGGACACACGTGTAAGCAGTAGTCCTAACTAATAAAGACCCCTAAACAACAGAACCATTTCAGCTGTGCTAATATAGCATAAAGACCCTCAAAGCTCTTTAAAAGCCAGTGTCATATGGAAAGACTTTACAGTAAGGGATAAGGAGAATCAGCCATTGTACAGATAATTAAACATCTTTAACAGGTTACTGCTAATATATTTCCTATGTTTCCATCCTATTTTGATCACCAAAGAAAGTGTGGCAGCATTGAGACACCATGCTGAATAAAGTGCTAAACACTGGCTCTGTTTATAGTTACTATATCAACATGTATAACCCTCTTATTGATCCCTCTCCCTCATTTTTACTCAAATCAGCTATCTGCATTGGAGACGACTTTTCATGAGAAGTCAGGCAAATATTTTCTAACCATACTTCAGAATTATCTCAGATGATCCCTGGAGTACCCAAGATTAGTTATTGTTGCTACATTTCTCTAGCACAGCTATGCAATATCCAGAATTCATTTTTCATTTTGTCAACTAGACCATAACTTTTGTGGATGCTAGAACATTGCCAAGCAGTAAGTCACTAATTATATATTCCTAAAGCATAGTTTTAATGATGATATTTGACATGTTCAAAAATATTACATGGTTTCTCCTTATTACAGAGATTGTAAGTATTTTCACCATAAAAAAGAAATAACTGTGAAAGGCGATAGATACATTAATTAGCCTGATTGTGGTAATTATTTTTGCAATGTTTATATATAAAAAAAATCATGTCGTACTCCTTAGATATATACCATTTTTATTTGTCAATTATACCTCAACAAAGTTGGGGGAAAAAATAAAAAACAAAAATAAAATTAAAAAAACCTTTGACCTTGGTATTCATAACATTATATGACATGATCCTAAGATAACTATGTAATATTTCTTATTACTTCTTTAATCATATCTTTCCCTTCAGCCAAACTGGAAAGCTTATTCTTTCCAAACATATTTCATACTTTTTTATCTTCACCCTTGCTTATGTCTATACTTTTGCCAGAACAATTTCCTTACTTTACCTGCCTTACTTTATCTGCCTTTCAATGTATTTGGAAGTAGGCAGGTAAGTAAGTTAAGTCATGATCCTTGCCTTCAAAGAGTTCATAGATCATGAGGAAATGGTCACATAAACTATTGGTGAATTAAAACAGAAGAAGTGCACTATTATAGGCATAAACAGGGTATTAAAGAAGCAAAGAAAATGTTACCTCCAGAACACACAAACGTACTCAAAATATTTACACTGGAAATGTTCAGACTTGAAACTTGGATTCTATGTATAAACTTCACATTAGATTTTCAAAAACACTGATCTGTAGAAATGTCCCTAATCCACACAATGTCCCATTCTCATCCATTTCCCCTGCCCAGTTCAACCCAATTTGGCTGCTCTTTCTCAAAAGATGAGAAATTATCTGTACCTATTTGTAAGTAAATATGCTCAGAGTTCTGCCAATAATACAAATCTGACTTCTGTACTTAACTTGTCATAAACTGATAACAAACAGTTCACAAATTGAAACCAGTCTGCAATCACACCTTGAGTAGCACTATTGCACACATACTTTTTTTTTCTTTTTTTTTTTTTTGAGATGGAGTCTCACTCTTTTGCCAGGCTGGAATGCAGTGGCACAATCTTGGCTCACTGCAACCTCCACCTCCCGGGTTCAAGAGATTCTCCTGCCTCAGCCTCCTGAGTAGCTGGGATTACAGGTGCACACCACCATGCCCAGCTAATTTTTTATGTTTTTAGTAGAGATGTGGTTTCACCATGTTGGTCAGGCTGGTCTCAAACTCCTGACCTCACGATCTGCCTGTGTCGGCCTCCCAAAGTGCTGGAATTACAGGGGTGAACCACCGCACCCGGCCACATGTACCTCTTACATTACCAAAAAGATTAACTTTTCCGTCTTTTTCTCCATCAATCAAAATAAATAAACAGAAACACAATTAAACAAAATATTTTAAAATTATGATTTAATAAATACAAAGCAGCTATTGTAAATAACTTAAAGGATACGAATTTCTGTGACAGCCTTCAAGGAACCTAAACAATTTTCTGTTACCTCTGGAAAAAAAAAAAACTGTACATATTTATATAAATATTTAAAAAATTTTAATGGTCAGCAGCTACGACCTGAAATGAATATTTTTATCCTTTCCATAAAAACTGTTTCAACAAAACTAACACAACTTTTTATTGAGAGCAAAGTTAAAAATATTTTTAGCACACCGGATAAAATATTTTAACACACAGCCCAGCTTAGAAAATAATGCAACATAATAAAAAAACTGCAGTAATTGCACAGAGAGATAATCTACTCACATTTACTATATTTTTACATTTTCCCCTATGCTGAGAAATGCAGATTAGTCTGTACTCATAAAATGAACTGAAAAAGCAAGAAATTACCTTGAATATCATGAGGCTGGAAAGCAACTGGAAAAGATGGTGCTTTGAACATGCCTTCTCTGATTTCAGAAGCAGAAAAAGCATTATTTGCTGTAAACACATTTGCAGAATATTGAAATTTCTGCTTACTACTGCTATAGTTCCTTGATTTCCCTTTGTTCATTTCTGTTTGTACAATTTTCACTGAGCCAATGTGAGAGTCCAATTCACTGTCATTGGAATAAGCACTCCTATGTATATTGTCAGATATTTTAAATAATCTGCAAGAAAAAAAGACCCACATATTTTCTCACTTATAACACTTCCTTGGAATATGAAAAACTAGCATAAAATTGGCCCCTTTAAAAACATTCATAGATTATGGTTTACTCAAACAAAAAAGCTAAACACTCTCCTAAAATATAACTTGCTAAGTTTATCACCAAAGTATGTCTACTTTCCTAAAACTCAGAGAAATCCATTTGTGGTAGTCAGCCTCCAAAAATGGCCCCAAAGATCCTTGCCTGCTCCTCACACCTTTGCAATCTCCTACAAATTGAATCACGGAATCAGGACTGGCCTGTCTAACTAGCAGAGTACTGCGGAAGTGCAAATGTTTGACTTACAAGGCTAGGTAATAAAAGACATTGCCCCTTTCTCCATGGTCTCTTAGATCTCTCACTCTGTGGAGAGCTAGTCACAATACAAAGAGAGCACTCAAGCAACCCTGTGAAGAGGCCAGGTGGACAGGTACTGAGGTCTCCTGTCAACAACCAGCACTGACTCTTCAGTCAAGGACAGCAAGCCACCTTGGAGACCTGATAGCTCCTGTCAAGCTTTCAGATGACTGCAGCATGTCTAACATTTTGATTGTGGCCTTCTTGTGAGAGGCCCCCAATATCTTTATGCATTCTCACAAGAGAGCCTAAGCCAGGACTACTAGCTAAGTTGTTCTTAAATTCCTAACCTGTAGAAAATGTGAGAGATAATAATGTTTACTGTTGTTTTAAACTACTAAATTTTGGGATAATTTTATTACACAACAACAGATAACTAATATTCCATTTAAAGTCAGTAAAGTGCTTAAGAGAGAGAAAAAGTCACTAGATATAGTCACAGTAAATAGTAAATTTTGTAACACCTAATAGTTAAATTTAACTGAAGTGATTCAAGCTACTCAATTATATTAACATATTAAATTTATAGGAATAAATTAACAGACTTGTTATGAATTAAAAGTTGTCAGCAACTGCATTTCACGCCACAGAAGCTACCAGATAAGACAGTTTTCCTAGCCAATCAAATCAGCACTGTGTACCCCCCAAAAGAGGAAAAGATGTAAACTAAGTATATCAGCAGATTAAATCGTCCCAAACTCTATATCTAATAACCACTTCAGTGTAAGAACTACTTCTATGCAAAGTTCTAAAAACAAGGAAACACTTTATCTTTATGACTGTACTGTATTATATTTGATCAAAAGACAATCTATCAAAGTAACTTGTTCACAATATCCCTAAGGGATGAAGTAACCATTAAGGTTCCTGATAAAACACTCACATCTTACAGAATAAGTAATGGAGACGACTTATCCATTCAGGGCTGAAGATCAAGTTTAATTAGCAACGGCCAGTGATTTCATCAATCTTGTCTATGAAATGGAACCTCCATTAAAACTTGCCTAAACAACAGGGTTCTGAGAGCTTTTGGAATGGTGAACACATCAAGCTGCTGACAGAGTGGCATGCTCAGAGAAGTTATGGGAACTCTGTACTCCCTCCCTCATATTTTGCCATATGTATCTCTTTCATCTGGAGTTGTACCCTTTACAGTAAGCTGGTAAATGTAAGTAAAGTGTTTCCCTTAGGTCTCTGAGTCATTCTAGCAAATTATTAAAACCAATATGGGGTCATGGAAGCCTCAAATTTGTAGTTGGCCAGACAGAAATGTGGGTAGCCTGGGAATCTCATTTTCAGCTGGAATTCAAAGTGGGGTCAGTCTTACAGAACTGAGCCTTCAACCTGTGGGGTCTGACGCTAATTCCAGGAGTTAAGTGTCAACTTGGTTAGATGCCAAGTTGGTGTCAGAGAATCAGTTGGTGTCAGTCAACACCCAGTCTTTACATTTATGGTCAGCTGATTTCCAATGACAGTGCCATAACATTCAGTAGGGAAAGAACAGTCTTTTCAACAAATGAGGCTAGAACAACTGAAT